CCCCAAAACCCCAAAACCCCAAAACCCCAAAACCCCTGAGTAATTTAAATATATAGAATAGCACTAAAACCCAGTATAAAATATGGAAGTCTGCTTGTTCTCTAAATGATCTTTTTAACTCGATAAAGTCTCTGAACTTTGTCAAAAACTCGGGAGGAGAATTTTCGATATAAAATAGCTTAAATTTGTCATGAAAACCTAGGAATATGTACCTGCTTTCAGCTAATGTTCAATGATTATATAGAGTTAGATAGATCATTTGAAGGGTAGGAAGGTTTCTATATTTTAAGTAAGAATTGAGTTCTATTCTTCATTTCTAAACTATTCAAAGGCTCTTGTCATAACCTTATTGCCAATGCCACTTACTTTAGGCAATATTTATTTGGAAAACATGAGCTCCTACTGCGTCTTTCTTGAGTGTTCATTAAAGCCTGGTCCTGTGTGGTTGAAGTTTGATCTCCTTGAGTTTGACAGGACTCTATGATTATGGCTACACTTCTAAAGATTATTAGTAAAATACCGATGCTTTATACCTTAATTCAGGAGTCCTGAGGTGGTTTAGGTTGACAAGTCTCCCACTCTTGTCAATAGAGAGCCTCATATTAGTGAATCCAGCGATTTGTTTCCAATCTTTGGGAGAGGAACCGAGCAGGCTCATTTTGAGGTTCCTCGGGGTACCACTCATGAACCCGAATTTCCTGGCTTTATTAGCAAGTTCTTCATAATTTGGGATACCTTTGTTGACTACTTTGATGCATTTAGGCTTCTTTTGTTGAGAGAAGTTGACAACTCTAAAATTGATGAAGCCAGATACCTCTTTTTAAGCTTGAACTTGTTACGGATGCACTTTTCATCATCCTGGGTGTACTATATGTATCAGAGACGGCACAGAGGTTTAGCAATTCAGTAGTTTTGGGAAACTGTGCTTACCTTCGTTTTGATACGCCTTTGTTTATGAAGAATCGGTTTTAATTTCTCTAAGGAATCAGCGATATTGTTAAAATTGATTGCTAATTTCAGATTTTTGGATGCAAGGAGAGAGAGCTAACTGTTTTCCAGTGATAAAGTCCTTATCTCATGTAAATCTAGATGAGGTGAGGGGAGTTAAACAACTGTTAAGTACCTCTGAAGATTCTTTTTCTTAGCTCTCTTTCGTTTAACTGAAGAATTCTTCTCCCTGGTTTTGGACCTGAAGTAGCTTTTGTATTTAAGCAGCTTATTTCGTGGTTTGGGGTCTTTGGATGAGACGAGTGAGGTGGGAAGCATCGAATGTCCCTGATATCCTTAATCCATCTGTATCTATACAAGTCTTTTAGAATGTTAAAGTCTGGAGTGGAGTTTTAATCATACTTAATGCTTTTTCCATATTATTTCATTTGTGAAACACTTTTTGGGGTTTTGGGGTTTTGGGGTTTTGGGGTTTTGGGGTTTTGGGG